CACACCCCCAGTGACTGCTGTTCCATGCCCAGAAGATGACAAAAAAATTCTAGGATCCCTGGCAAAACTGGCCTGGAGAAAAATTGCTTCCTGACCCCAAAGTGGCAATCAGCATTTCCCTGGGTGTGTAACAAAGGGTCACGAGAACTAAGCACTGAGACAACCCTTCCTGCCCCTCCCTCTCATGAAGAAGAAGAGGAGGAGGAGGAGGAGGAGTTGGGTTTTATACCCTGCTTTTCTCTATCCGAAGGAGCCTCAAAGCAGCTTACAATCACCTTCCCTCCCTCTCCCCACAACAGGCACCCTGTGAGGTAGGTGGGGCTGAGAGAGCTCTGAGAGAACTGTGAGTAGCCCAAGGTCACCCAGCTGTCTTCACACGGAGGAGGCGGAGTGGGGAACCAGACCCAGCTCTCCAGGTTAGAGTCCACTGCTCTTTAGCACTATACCACACTGGGCTTTGTGGCAGTGTACCGCAATGAGGTCCCCCTTTCCCCAAGCCCCCCTCCCCAGGCTCCACCCCTTAATCTTTAGGAATTCCCCAGCCCAGAGTTGGCAACTCTATACAGCCCTCCAACCGCTGGTCTTCAGAGAGGTACAGGATCTGAATACGGAGGTGTCATTTACCCTCTTAGCTCATTGGCATTGATGGACCTGTCCTCCACAAATCTATGTAAGCCTCCAGTTAAACTAGTGGTGACGACTACATCCCCAAACAGCAAAGTTCAAAAGTTGATTCATCTTTAAATGAAGACGCATTGCCTTTAGAAGTGGTTAGTGTGAGAGACACAGGGCCTCGGGGAAGTGAGTCCCAAGAGCTTCATCTAAATATGCTGTGTCACTAGGCTACTGCAATTTCTTTCGTTGCTTTGCAAACAGCCACCTGCAAAGCTATAGTTCCTCAAACACTTTGTTGGACAAGCCCATTCTGGCATTTGAATAAACAAGGAACGCCCTCACACCCAGACACATCCCTCCCAGGGAGTCTTCCCAGGACCCCAGAGTCTGAAAATCACTCACCATTTCCAGCATTGTTCACCAGGCAGTCCAGGCATCCGAAACGTTCTACAGTGGTCCGAATCAACCTCTGCAGGAACAGGGATGAAGAGAGCTCAAAGGCAAGGCAAGGATACCAGCAGCATGGAGAGCCCTGCAGTCCCAGAGCTGCAAGCGGCCATCGGTAGGTAGAACTACCATGGGCGGCACCTGTTCCAGGTGTTCGGTGCAAGCGCAGGAGACAGAGAAGGATGGGTAGCAAAGGAGCCATATGTGAGGTGAGGGACAATGTCACATCCTGCTGGAGGAGAGAGTGCAAGCTCCAGCCAGAGAGGACTGTAGGGGGAGTAAAAGGTAAAGGTTTCCCTTGCTTGAACGCCAGTCAAATCCGACTTTAGGGGGCAGTGCTCATCTCTGTTTCCAAGCTGAACAGCCAGTGCTGTCCAAAGACTTCTCCATGGTCATGTGGCCGGCATGACTAAACCCAGCAACCATCACTACATCCTCAAACAGTAGAGTCCACCAGCTGATTCATCTTTAAATGAAGAGGTACTTCCTTTAGAAGTGGCTAGTGTGAGAGACACGGGGACACGGGGAAGCGAGTCCCCAAGAGCTTCATCTAAAAACGCTGTGTTACTTGGTTACTGTAATTTATTCAGTTGCTTTGCGAACAGCTGCCTGCAAAGCTATAGAACCTCAATCACTTTATTTGGACAAAGTCCATTCTGGTTTTTGCATAAACAGGAAACGCCCTCACACCCAGACACATCCCTCCCAGGGAATCTTCCCAGACCCCCAAAGGCTGGAAATCACTCACCATCTCCAGCATTGTTCACCAGGCAGTCCAGGCATCCATAACGTTCTAGAGTGACCCGAATCAACTTCTGCAGGAACAGGGATGAAGAGAGATCTAAGGCAGGGCAAGGATAACAGCAGCATGGAGAGCCCTGCAGTCCCAGAGCTGCAAGCAACCACCACTAGAACTACCCTGGGCGGCACCTGTTCCAGGTGTCCGGTGCAAGCGCAGGAGACAGGGAAGGATGGGTAGCAAAGGAGCCTGGGGGAGGAGCCATAGGTGAGGTGGGGGACAATGCCACATCCTGCTGGAGGAGAGAGTGCAAGCTCCAGCCAGAGAGGACTGTAGGGGGAGTAAAAGGTAAAGGTTTCCCTTGCTTGAGCGCCAGTCAAATCCGACTTTAGGGGGCAGTGCTCATCTCTGTTTCCAAGCTGAACAGCCAGTGCTGTCCAAAGACTTCTCCATGGTCATGTGGCCGGCATGACTAAACGCCAAGGCACACAGAACACTGTTACCTCCCCACTGCAGCGGTACCTATTTATCTACTAGCAGTTTCTTGCTTTCGAACTGCTAGGTTGGCAGGAGCTGGGGCCAGAGACGGGAGCTGAGCTCACTCCGTCACGCCTCGAACTGCTGAACTACAGACCTTCCGGTCTGCAGCTCAGTGTCTTAACCTGTGAGCCACTGTGGCCCTGGGAGTACCTCCTTTCTAAAAGGACTTCTCTTTGTTTGTCAGCAGAATGCTATTCTGAGGTTTTCCTCCTAGAACCATCTAGAATGCTCTGTCTCTCACCTGGTATGGTAACTAGGTTTATCTCTTCTGTTTCCTTTGTTAATACCAAAGAACAGAAGGCACTGGGTTTTCTGGGCACTGCAAAACTCCCCCCCAGTTCTACTGCAGAGATTCTCTGTTTCGACTTTGGAAACAATGGAGGATGGGGGCACCTTCTTTGAGGTGGGGGCAGTGTGTTTCTTAACATCCAGTCTGGTGAAGCTTGCAATCACTGGTTTGCGATGCTTTGGCTAGTGTTAGTAAAAGTTAGTACAAAGGCAGACTCCCAGCTCTCAAAAATGCCTTGTGGATGTTTAGGGATGGTCAGCTCTTGGGCTTCAAAATGGAGAACAGAAGCCCTCCCGAGTGCCTGCTCAGAACACAAGTGGGGTGGTGGATGTTGTTGTTGTTGTTGTTGCCAAGTCACAGCTGACTTATGGAGACCCTGTAGGGCTTTCAAGGCAAGAGATGTTTGGAGGTGGTTTGCCATTGCC